GGTTTTCCGAAATACACAAATCATTTTCGAAAAAGAATTTGGACTTTATTTAAAAATTTTATTTTTGGATTCATTTTATTTTAAATTGAAAATGCTTTTGATTGTTTTTGCAAATAATGTTCATTCACATAGTTCTTTTAATTTATATAAATAAATCATATACTTTATTATGTATAGTTAGACGTATTTTAGTTTATGTTATGGGTACTTAGCTAGACTAAGGCAAGGGTGGGGGTATTAAATGTGTAGGAGGGAATCAAATAATTGACGGGTAGACTGTATAGAGGGATAAAGGAATAGGGGAAAACATGATGCAGAAACGATTCTTAATATTGGAGATAATAAAGAACTATCGAAACTGTATAAATATCCTGTTCAATGGACTGTTTTTGTAAATTCAAGTAACCCTTGGTTTAAAATGGGTGTTTACAATGGTACCCAATTAATATCAATTACGAAAATGATATAATTGGTTTTCTAGCTTTAAAAGTGATTAATTCTGACACTCAACTCCATCGTTTTTGTAAGCTGATATCCGCAAGTTTATAGAGAAACCAAGATTGAAAATATTAAAATGTTCACATTGAGAAACATGAAAAGCCCATTCCAGTTACAAAGCTTTTAAATTTTTTTTAAAATATTTAATTTTTTTTTTTTTTTGACGGGCAACGCCGAGCTTTTCAGCTAGTTTTTGATAAAACATGTCTCATGGAAATGTTAATTATGTTTCGTAAGAGATTTTACATCTGTTTCGATGCAAGCCTATTTATGATGCTTGGAATAAGATGCTAGGTATTCTAGTTTAGTACAACCCCCCCCCCCTTTTATTCCCCTCCCCCTCCTCGGAGCCCTACTCCTTCCTTTTCCCACCCTTTCCAGGTTTACTTTGATCGATTTGAATTTTAATATGAAGAACACAGAGCTCTGGTTGGTTAAAAGGGTTATATATGCATAACAGAATAGGCCAATAATATTACAGGGGAAGAAAGAGGGGAAAAGGAATGTGAAGAGGAGAAGGGATCATGTGGAAAAGGGGATTCCTATTGGAAAGAAAGGATTTATGGAAAGGGAAGAATTATTTTTCAGGTCAAATAAATAAATAAAATAAAATAAATAAATAAATAAAAATATTTTAAATAAATGAGCTTTTTTTGACTGTTTTTCAAATTTCTTTAACTTTCACAGAACAATTAATCTTTTAACTTTTGCAAAAGTTTGTGCATAAAAATAATTTAAATGAGGTTTTGAAACACTTTTTTTGGCAGTTGAAAAGTAATTTATTGAACAAATATCACAAACTATTTTTTTTTACCAGCAAAATTGTTAGATATCTGTGACAGTAATATTAATATGATTAGTGGTTTAAAGGGAGTGTTGGCAATCTATATATAAATTTAGCTTGTCTGGGCGTCTGTTAGGGTGTTCGTATACAATAAACGGCTGAACTAATCGGGCACAAATTTTGTGTGGACCTCACGTGACCCCAGGGAATGATAAAAATTAAAAAAATGTGTGTAAAAGTTTTTTAAAATTTTTAAATTGCGTAAAAAAATATAATGAAATCCGCAAACTTTTTTTAGTTTTTTTTTATACTGTACAAAGAGAAGATACTCACAGATAAAGCCACAATTAAAAGTTGAAATGGAAGATGGACGCGTAGCGCACTAAAAGCCTAGTATTTTAAATGACCATCAATTTGTAGAGTTCATCTGACCGATTCGTAATCTTTGATTGATCAAAACTGTTGGACTTTTCCCGGTTAATTAACATACACGCTTGTCATTGTTAAAAATCAATATTTACATTGGAATTTTGGAACCCACTTTGGACAGAGAATATTCTTGATTTTCGAAATGCACACTGTACAGGTTGGACTTTAACAACAATTCGAAAACTGTTTGAGAGTTAAACACATAGAGTTATCTGGCCTCGATGATCAGTTAAATGGTTAATGTTACCGATGTATTATTGGGAAAATTGTGATTGTTTTTATAGAGGGTCACTTGAAATTACGCTTACAGTGTATTTTATATATATTTGCTCATAAATATATATATTGGAAGAAATATATATTTAAACATCTAAAATGTATATTTAAACTGAAAAAGTTGAAAATACTATATATATATATATATATATATATATATATATATATAGATTTCAGCTATAGCTGGGCAAACGGCTGGACCGAAGGCGCTGAAATTTTTTGAGAGGTAACATAGGTTAAAAAAATTCACTTTTTGAAAACTATAATTATTTTAAATAATTTTTTTTTTCAAAATTTGATTTTTAAAAATTCCACGGGTAACGCCAAGCACTTCATCTAGTAGTTAGATAAATCTGTTTGTGTCCTTCTCTCTCTCTCTCTCTCACTAGTCCTAGTTAAAAGTTTTCTTGTGTGAAGCTCTCAGCAAGGCAGATTTAATTAGAGCTGGCAAATATAGGGGGGATTTCCGGTCTGTAGATAATAAACACAACGGCCCAGAGGGGGTATGGAGATTTTGCATTTTCTAGATAACTTATATAGCACACTTTGGATGTCGTTTTGACTGAACCTCCACTTCAAGAGTTGCAAGTGCTGTAAACAATCCAGATTTTTTCCTCTTAAAAATTAATAATTTTCGTTTGAGGTTTAGGCAGTACATTCAAAGAAGAAAATTGATTGAAAATAACATTTCTTAAGATAAAAATGACATCCTATTCATTCAGTAAAGTTTTAAAGTTTGTGAATCAGTAATCTACCTTTTTAAACGTAGATTACTTTAACATTACTTTAAAAGTACTTTTAATGGTATTTTATTATTAAGGCTCAGATTTCATCATTTATTGCTTTCTGATATTTTGAAAATTCAAAAAAAGCAAATCTTCGAAAATATTAAGAAAAGTTGAAAATGTTTAGTGCATTAAATAAAACATAAATTAATATAAATATAAATTCAGAATAAATGTCTGTATCATAATCTTACGAAGAAGGAAGAAAAGCACCGGACCTTTAAATGTTATTACAATATGATAAAATAGAACAAAAACATTATTAATATATAGTTTCCATTCCAGCACGCATAACAGAGAAAGAAACAAAGATGAGATATTAGCTACGAGTAAAAGTTTTGTGTATGCAGACAAAGAAAGTTTTTTCTGATTGCAATTTTTCATTTTTTTGCCCACATAAACAATTGTGAAAAATATTTGTAGGATTTAAGATTTGTTTGTCGAATGTTTCAATTCATTCTAAGTATTTGTGTTACTTTTTCAATTTAGGATAGGGGGGGGGGGGAATAAAGAAGAAGGGATGAAGGGGGGGGGTTGAAGTGCTTTCTACAATTTATTGCAATTATGAAAGCAAAGATATGTAAAAAGGCGAACATTAGCTAGACAAGAAAGATCTCATGTTTTGTCTCCTAACAACGCTAGTTTGGGGTGATTAATTCGATGTGAGCTAGAAAACAAACATGCCAGGGTGTCATATATTAAATGTATAAAGGTTTACTTCTTTGGGGTCATGATTCTAGTTGTAGCTCCCCCCTGTGAAAAATACATCCCAATTGGGATTTGCAACTACTCCTCTTTAACCAATTAAAAAATCTAGTTAATTAAATAAAATCATACAATTTTAATGTGTAAGGATGTTCTGGAAAGCCCTTTACAAATATTTCTTTTGTTTGACTCAATTTAATCTTAGGATTAATTTTAGGTTTTTTTAGACTTTAAAATACCTGAACAACCTTTTTACAGTTCTGTACCCTACTCTTTCCATAAAATATAACAAAATGTTGAAAAAAAGTTTTTACAATATTAAATCTACTGGGAATGCACAGTAATAGCTCTAAATATCCATGTATTCAACTAAAATGCACAACGATGCTAATTATTCATTATTCGTGCAACCTATCAATTATCCAGAAATTACAGGCTAGCATGATAGATTACCCTACAGGGGAATATATATTAATTAATGTTAACGCTTTATTCCCCCCCTCCCCCTGCCATTCCCCCCCCTGCATACTCAGCATGATATCCTGAATGCCCCTTGACCTTTCATTTACTTTTTCTTAGAAAATGGATTATTTTTTATTTTATGGTTTTTTACAAAAGTGACTTGCGAAATTTTACTGCTGAAACATATTGGGAAAATTATCAGAATTAAACACTTTTTAAGCTAATCATACAACGATAGCTTCAACACTTTTGATCAAATAAATGTTCTAAAAAGGGCATGCTAATCTTTTAAATGGAGGATCACTTAGAACAATAACAGTCTCTTTAAAGGGACTATGGACGTTATTTAAAGTGTCATTTATTTGTAGAATGGAAGGTCAGATTCACCCTTTGAACTTTTTTTTGTGTAATATCGAGGGAGAGATTTTTGTTTTTTTCTATCTTGATAGTGTAGAATTCTAAATATTTCCTGCATTTTTTTACGTAATAAATCCGCAATTTTTTACTGATTGAATTTCAAGCCTGCAACAGTATTAAGTACCTTTTTTAAATTCGGGCGTGTTACTTTTAAAATAACGTTTTTACCATATTCAATAAGTTTTACAGTCTGAGGGATGCTTTACTGAAAAAGGTCATTTCGGTGCAAAAATATCAAAATATCAAATGCCAAATGATCTAATGCTTAATTATGGAGTACAAACGCAGTACGTTTCAATTAGGTCTACAAGCTAGAAATGTAAACAAATCAGAGAAAAATCATAACAACGGATCGTACTGCATTGTTCATCTCAAAACCTTTTAAATGTCAACAACAAAGAGAAAATATAGAGGAGACGATAAGATATAAGGGAAGAGAAGAAAACGAGATTGCACCCAGTTGATAGTTTACGGGTTTACAACTGTGTGGATTGTGTCCTGTTTGAGATATTGATCAATTACTTGCTAGTGTCGGAGTTGACACCAATAGCTAACGAGATTGTACCCAGTAGTATTGGCGTTAATAGTTTCCCGGCATTAAAGCCCTAGGTTGACATTAGTAGTCAAGAGAATCTGAGTTGTACCTGGATAGATACGTTTCTGAAAACTGTTAAGAAAATCTGAGTGGTTCATAGATAGATACGCTTCTGGAAACGGTTATGGAATAGAGAATTTACTCCAGTCCCATGCTACCCTTCTCTCTGAAATGAAATTGATAGACTCAGGATCCACAGCCCGACTGACGTTGCGATTTTTTGCCAATCAAGGTTGTGGACTAGCCATCCTCTAACGAGCAAATAATGAGGGTGAATATATGAAACATTGTTTAATTTAATAGATTGATAGTTAGATAGATAGATAGATAAATAGATAGATAGATAGATAGATAGATGGATAGATGGATAGATAGATAGATAGATAGATAGATAGATAGATAGATCATATAAATATTGATAGATCAGTAGATTGCGTGCTATGGTTTGCCAAGTAATTATTCCAAATTTTTAACTTATTTCTGCATTATTGTCACCAGTAGAAAATCAATGCAAAAATAAAAAAAAATATAAGAAAAGTTTATTATACAGTGATAACCAGAAAACTTTGGAAAAGGAAGAAGACTTTTAGACTTGAGATGACTTATAAGTCCACGAGACACAAATAAACTTTAGTATTGTTTTCATGTAGTCTCCTATTCCACAGTTTTCTGGTTCTCACTGTAAATATATAAAAAAGATATATTTTTATCTTTATGTTAGCATTTCCTGATTGTCTGTGTGTTTGTTTATGTGTACTATCAAATCTCATAAAAGAACGGACCATGACCGAATTGCAAAAATCTTGATTTGGAATCGCATTAGACCTACTCGAATTATAGACCTACTCGAATATTAGACCTACTCGAATATTAGACCTACTCGAATATTCTTAATTCGGTTTTTAAAAAAATTCGACTTGTTTAAGAAAAGATTAGATTTTCCGGCAAAGCTGGGTTCCCAAGATAGTTATGTATTATTTTTATTTATTATACTCAAAACCAAATTTGAAAACTAATTTAATTTTGAAAATTATTTATTATTATACTGATACCATTATATGTTATATAAATTCAAAAGATTTTCTATAGGTTAGGTTAAGTTTATATTTCTTAATAGTATAATATTATTAATATTATAGAATAGAATATTTATGAGAAGCTCAGAGAAAAGTTTAAGGTTATTTCTCAGAAACCTAAATAGAATAAATAAAAACTTAAAAACCTTCAAAAAATGGATTTTTAGTTAGAGTGAATAACGCTAAGAATTAAAGCCGGTTTTTATTTTATCACACAGGAATTGATGCGAAACAAAGCGAATTAAGGTTCTCGTTGGTCGAAAAAATTTAGATTATATATATTTATCCAATTTAAGATTTTCAATTTTCGATGTCCTAATAACGCAAACAAAAGTTCCAACCCTAAGAGTTTGATAACTATTAAAGACGATATTTGTACCTTTTATTCAATTATTGGTTACAAAATTAAAATTATTTAATTTAATTAATTAGAAACGTATGTTAGAATCCTTAAATTTTAAAGAAAAATTTACAACTAGCTGATCTTGCTTCGAAGGTTACTGACCATACAGTATACTCATTTAATAAATGTGAACTAGTATTTGAACTTCGGAGACTAAATTGAACTACTTCTCTTTATCTTGACCTCACGTTTAATTGTGCACTGCTTGAACCGGTGCTATGCGGTTCAACTACTCCTCGATATTCAAATTTTTATGAATTTAAAGAACAGCGCAGAACCGCAGGAGAAGTGGTTGAACTCAATCTTCGGGATTAATTTATTCATTAAATCTGATCTGCAAACATATTAACAATAGTACAGGCTTCATTGGATCTTGACAAACTTAATAAAAATGATAAAATAATCTCTTCAAAAAGTTGAGAATGATTGTTTACATATTCTGACAAATAATGATTTTATGAAACTAGAACTTAGGCAATTATACGGAGAGGGGGAATATTTACTTGACAGGAAAAGCAAAAAAAGTTTAGGAAATAACAATTCGAATCTAGCAGCTGGGAAAATATCATAAAAGTAATTAGTGAGATCTGGGACGGTACTTTTTAGTAAAAGTAGCGTTAGTCGTGTAGCAGTTTAAGAAAAGTTTTTTTTTTTGTAAAATTAAGGAAAAGTAGATTTGTCAAAGTTTGAGAAAAACAAAATTTTCAAAGTTTGGGAAAAACAAAAATGGCTAAGTTTGGGAAAAACAAAATTGTCAAAGTTTGGGAAAAACAAAATATATCTATTCTAATTAAATATTCTCTGGTCAGATAAAATGTTGACCCTCACTAGTCGACACGTGTCTCTTCTGCACTTCTCGACACGTGTTTAGAATCTATATTTAGATAACGTTATTTTACAGTTCCTTGGAACCTATATTGAACTACTAGGACTAAACCTAGTCTATAAAAGTAAAGGGTATCTATATTGAACTCCTAGCTCTAAGCCTAGTCTACAAGAGTAAAGGGTATCTATATTGAACTGCTAGTTCTAAACCTAGTCTATAAGAGTAAAGGGTATCTAAATTGATTTGCTAGCTCTAGACCTAGTCTAAACTAGTAAAGGGTATCTATATTAGACACCTAGCTCTAAACCTAGTCTACAAGAGTAAAGGGTATTTTTATTAAACTGCTAGATCTAATCATAGTCTACAAGAGTAAATGGTATTTTTTATTAAACTCCTATAGCTCTAAACCTAGCTCCTTGAGTAAAGAGTATCTTTATTAAACTGCTAGTTCTAAACCTAGCCTACTAGAGTAAAGGATATTAAACTGCTAGATCTAATCCTAGTCAACAAGAGTAAAGGGTATCTATATTAAACTGCTAGCTCTAAACCTAGTCTACTAGAGTAAAGGATATCTATATTAAACTGCTAGCTCTAAACCTAGGCTATAAGAGTAAAGGGTATCTATATTGAACTCCAAGCTCTAAACCTAGTTTCTAGAGTAAAGGGTATCTATATAAACTTCTAGCTCTAAACATAGTCTACTAGAGTACAGGGTATCTATATTCAACTGCTAACTTTAAACCTAGTCTACTAGAGTAAAGGATATCTATATTAAACCGCTAGTTCTAAACCTAGTCTACTCGAGTAAAGGGTATCTATATAAACTCCTAGCTCTAAACCTAGTCTACTAGAGTAAAGGGTATCTATAAAAACTCCCAGCTCTAAACCTAGTCTACTCGAGTAAAGGGTATCTGTAATAAACTCCTAGCTCTAAACCTAGTCTACTAGAGTAAAGGGTATCTATATTCAACTCCTAGCTCTAAACCTAGTCTACTAGAGTATAGGGTATCTATATTCAACTGCTAGCTCTAAACCTAGTCTACAAGAGTGTGTGACTATAGATTGTATCTGCAAAATATATCGAAAGGGAAATTGTTTGACCAAACCGTGGAAATCCCCCCTCCCCCTCTCCCCCCTCTCCCAACCTTTTAGTTAACAATAAAATAGCTGAGGACCATACGTTGCAATCTAAAAATTACACTTAAACGGACTGTATGCCTAATTTCAAGTGAATCTCCATGCAAAGATGGCAATTCGAGATTTACAACGGTACTCTTAAAACCTTAATCTGATCAAAAATGTGGAAGATACCGTCGTTTTTTTTCTACTCATAAAGTGTTTAATTCGGTGAGATTCTCCCTTTCTTATTTTTATAAATAAAAAATGTGTAGGTCACTTTAGCAGAAAACATTTTAAAGGAAGAGAAACATTGATTTCTATAAATTCACACTTGACCAGACAAAGCTGTCAAGGGAACTGTTGTAAATCAGGTATTGTCATCTTGGCATGGAGGGTCACTTGAAATTACGCTTACAGTCTCTTTAAGATAAAATTTTAATTTACAGTTCATGATATAATGACCCTTTTTCTCTTTATGTAAGAATATAACTAAAAGTATTGTATTATTTTTTTTAGCAGGCATGGAGAAGGCTCAAGCAAATGACCGAAATTTTGTAAATTATGAAACTGATATAGTTTACCGCCGACTTCATCATTTTATGTGGTTAATGGTTTCAAGAGTAAAATTTATGTTATGCACTCCTGTATGCTGAGTCCATTAGCGCCTGATCCTATCAGGGTTTAGTCATGTGTTTGTTGTCTATTCTGAACCAATAGAAATAGTATGGCGGTAATATCTGTCTTTCTATCTATCTCATTATCCAATTAGAGTTATGATTCCTTCTATCGGCGCCATCAGTAGATATAAATATTTACTTCTACTGAAACTATAGTTATGGCTTGTGTTTGAAAATTCTTAAGCCATGTTTCACTGAATTACAGGAGTGTATAATAACAAGTTGTCCTCCTTTTGAAAAGTTTTCTGTCCTATTTATACAATGTTATCATTAAAAGCGTTGTCTGGTTATAGTATGATTAAGAAATCCGTGTGTTTCTTTTTGAAATGTTATTATTTTCAATTGTGGTTATTTTCTAAAGTAACTTGCGGATAACTGCTTCAGACAAGGACTTGAGTTAAAATTAAAACAACAGAATAGAAAGAACGTAAAAGAATTCTTTAGAAAATAAGGACGACTTCTCTTCACCATAGTTTCAGTAGAAGTAAATATTTCCATTTACTGATAACGCCGATATTGAAGGATTCATAACCTAATTGAATAATGAGATAGATAGAAAGATAGATGTTACCGCCATACTATTATACATATCCATTTTTACATGTATAGTTTGTGGCTAAATATATATTTTGATTTGATTGATTGATTTGATTTCTATTGGTTCAGAATAGACAAGAAACACATGACTGAACCCTGATTGGATCAGGCGCTAATGAACCGGCATACAAGAGTGTCTTAGCATGTTTGTTAAAATTAAAACGTTTTTCTAAAACTACTTTAACAAAATGGAATTGATCACAATTTGTAAAACTAATCGTTTATGTTAAAAAAGACTAATTTAACATTACTTATTGTAAAAAACGCACAGTAAGAAGATTCACTGACTTAATGTGCGATTATCACAAAAAAAATTTGATATTTTAAAAACATTAATTTGGTAAATATCTGTGTTTAACATTAAGCTCTTTGGAAAAAATGTGAAATTTTAACAGGTCCAATGTTTTTAGAAAAAA